AAGTTCCCTCGAGTCAAATCACTAACACGCTCCCTCAAAACCCAAAATAAGTACAAATCATGATAAAAATCATCTAAGTGTATCAATTTCACATTTTTCTCGGTGCTAGTTCAAGTCATGTCAAATAATGTCGTATGCATGAGTGATGTTCCACACATTTAGTGGCTGTTTGTTTACGGTATAAGAGGGCATGTTATTCATGTATAAAACATTATATTAGTTTTACTATATTTGGTAAAAGTTTTTGTATTATGTTGAAAATTCAACATGACTTATATTATATTTGGTTGATAAGTTCTAAATATTGTATAATAATTATTCATGTATTAATTTTATACAGTGTTTGATTGCTTTATTTGTAGTCCTATATAATTAATATTTGCATAACTTATGAGAGAATCTATGTATAAGTTATGCAGGATAGAAGGTGAAATAAGTTATGTGGATATTAATTATATATGTATTAAAAAGATATATTACACATTTATCCCTATTGATTTGTTTTTAAATCTTTTTTTATTGAAAACTTTACATAATTATTCTATTTTCCCAACTATTTTCATTTCTTTTTGTTTTATATATTCAAACAACTTTTTATTTGTTTTCATTTAAAATCAAAAAAAATTATTATATTATGAATAGGAATGTATAATTTTGATAGCGCATGTGCTAATTACATATTTGCATTATATATTACTACATATATTCACATATTTAATTATCATGTATTAATTTTTATTTAGAATGTGAATTTATATAATATTTATAAATTTAGTATACTACAACTGTAGAAACAACATACGCATCATATTTTTAGAAATTTTCATTATATAAAATAGCATAGTATCATATACTTGAAATATATTAATAGTATTTTATTTTTATAATCTTTAAACACTAAAAAATAAAGAGAGAAAAAAAACACAGAATTCCTTAGTTAAGTATAGAGATTTTTTTAAGGGAGAATTTATACTATTTTCTTACTTATTTTTTATTTGTAAATAACATATTTTATTTTTATTAATATAATATTCAATAGTTAATTATTCATGTGATGTAATCTCCATATAATTAAATATTACCTACATAATTAAACTCTGCATAACTAATACCTGCATAACTAAATCTGAATAACTTTAACCAGTAACCAAATGGCCTTCTCTTATGGTACTTGTAATGCTTCAATTTTGAGTTTTGCATGTCTTTTTTAATATTTCTTAGTATATTTAATGGTATTTTATCAATGTTTTTGCAGGAAAATACATTTTGGCAAATTGGGTTGAAGATTACAGGGTAGCAGCTGAAGTTTGAAGTCCCACAAGCCATATACTTTTCTACGTCCATAGAATTTTTGCGTACTTTTGGGAAAACTATAAATAGTCTAAAAGAGAGAGAAAATATATCATATTTTTGTAGAGAATTTTGGAAAATTAAATCAGTTTTGAGAAACTTTGCTTGAATTAATTTTTGTATCCTTAGAATAGTTTTGAGACTTTTGAATGCACACTTGTAACTGAGCTGTGGAATCGAAGTGTATGTTGAAGGTTATTGCTTAACTTTAAAAATTAATGATTGGTAACATCATAGGTATAATTTCTTTATTTTTTATGATGTGTGGATGAAAAGTTCAAGGGGGTGTGATTTTGGGTTTGGGTGTTGATTTAATTTAGCGAATCTTTTGCTTTTTGCTCTATTTTATTGTTTTTCTTTTTATGGATTTAGCATGGTGTTAAATTATGGCCAGTTAAGTTAGTGTTGCAAACTTAATCTTAGTTTAGATCTTCGATTGATGCATGCAATTTAGGGTTTAATTTCTATAGTTTGCTTGAAAGAGAAATTGTAGTTTCCACAATCCGCTCAACAGAGAGTTTTTTAGTATATATATATATATATATATATATATATATATATATATATAGTAAGTAAATAAGTAAAGTA